TGGGTACGAGGCTGCATTTCAGTACCGCATACCACCCGCAGACGGACGGACAGAGCGAGCGGACGATTTAGGCTCTTGAGGATATGCTCCGAGCGTGTGTTTTGGATTTTGGTGGGAGTTGGGACACCTATTTACCCTTAGCAGAGTTTTCGTACAACAATAGCCATCATTCGAGCATTGGTATGGCGCCATTTGAGCTGTTGTATGGGAGGAGGTGTCAAACCCCTATCTGCTGGGGATAGGTGGGGCAACGGGTAATGGGTAGTACGGAGATTGTGGTTCAGAATACCGAGTAGATACAGGAGGTCAGGCAGAGATTGTTGACCGCTCAGAGTCGCCAGAAGAGTTATGCAGACGGGCGTCGGTCCGAGATCGAGTTTCAGGTTGGTGACCTTGTGCTCTTAAAGGTCTCTCCTTGGAAAGGAGTGATACGATTCAGGAAGAGGGGCAAGTTGGGACCTCTATATATTGGACCTTTCAGGGTAATCACTATGGTAGGCAGGGTAGCCTACCGGTTGGATCTACCTGCTGAGTTGGGTCAGATCCACGACACCTTTCATGTGTCGCAGTTGAGGAAATATATTGTCGACGAGTCGGTAGTGGTGCCATTAGATGATATTCAGGTGGATGCAGGCCTGAACTATGTTGAGAGACCAGTGGCAATTAGGGATCGAAAGGTTAAGGTTCTGAGGAACAAGGAAGTACCCTTGGTGCAAGTGCAGTGGCAACATCGGAAGGGGTCCGAGCTGACATGGGAGTCCGAGTCGGAGATGCGGGAGCAGTATCCAGAATTGTTTTCGGTATAAGACTTTGGGGACGAAGTCTGGTTCTAGTGGGGGAGAATTGTAACAGCCCAAAATTCAGGTAACTTTTTTTAGACCTTCATTTTTGATACATTGTCATTTTAGGCTTTTGTGTTGGGCGAGTACGCTGGGCGTACAAGGAGTACGATGCGCGTCTTTCAGAAAGAGACCCTAAGAGAGTTGTTCCTTCGTTCATAGCTTGTTTGTGAGTGTTCTAAGCTTGGTGGTGTCATTTCAAGGTAGCAAAGGAGAAGAGGAGTCCATTGTGGAGGCTAGAAGTTGGTGGTCAAGTGTAGATCCGTGAATAGAAAAGGTTGGAGCTTCTTTCTAAGGTAAAAAGTTCGGATCTTGACTTGTAGTTCTTGTGGTATGCCTTATGGACCATTTTCTAGGGTTTTAGTCCCAAAGATGGAGACTTTATGAGCAAGTAGCCTCCATTGGCTTAGATCCATCATATTTCTGGTCCATTTGAGTTGTAGATTCATAAAAATGTAATCTTGAACGTGAATGATTAGCCATGCATGAGAACTAGATCTTTTGAGTTGAAATGGAAAGGTATTAAGGAGTGTAGGAGCCTTTATAGCCATGCCAAGGCTTAAGGGTTTCGACTTTATGGGTAAGGAGGCTTAAAGAGAGTTGGATCTAGAAGTTGAAAAAGTATCTTAACCATTTAAGACCAGAAATGAAGAGTGGTTGGATCTGAGCATTACGCTGGGCGTAACTCCCAGTATGCGCAGCGTACTGGGTGAAGACCCCCGATGGTGGATTGGCGATGTACGACCCGCGTACATGAATCCGTACGCCCCGCGTATTGTGAATGTTGACTTTTAGGGTTTCGGTCAGCATGTGGACTTTGAGTCAAGGAAGGGTAAAATGGTCTTTTACCCCTCTGAGGAATATTAATAAGGGTAAAGTCTAGTTGTGGAAGTCTATATTAATTGAAATGATATTTCGTTATGATTAGGCGGGGTTGGGATTTGGAGCTAGCGAGTACGCAAGATTCTAGACTTTCCACGAGGTGAGTTTTCTCACTATACTGTACCCGGAAGGTTGGATATGGTATGCGTCGTATGCATTGTATATGATAAGTGAACCGTTGTATGTGCTATGTATGTTATGCTTGATATGGGCCGGAAGGCATTATGTTATGCGCCGGAAGGCATATAAGTTATGAGCCGGACGGAGTTGTGATGTGGACCGTAAGGTTGACGCAGGTGGGACCGGAAGGTTTACCGAGTCAGGACGGAAGTCCCCTGAGACACATGGACCGGAACGTCAGGGCCTGGAAAGGCGTATGTGCGTAAGTAGTATTTCAGCGACTCACTAAGCATTTATGCTTACAGTTGTTGTGTTATGTATTTCAGGTACTAGCGAGGACCATGGGAAGGCGCCGGTGTGATTTGTAAACACTGATGGAAGAATTGTTTTATGATCTTGGGGTGTATTTTGTTACGATGACATTTGTTATACATGTGATTTCCGAATATTAAATTATGGTTTATGCTGTTTGAATAATAAAAAATTGTTTTGAAAAATTCACGTTGTTACATTAAAAGAGCTTTTGAAATGTTTTTACTTATAAAAAACATAAGTAATCCTTTTAAATATTTTTAACAAACAATTACACAATTATAAATTGTGTTCAACTTCTATTCCCCCCCCCCCCCGCCCTTAAAGCATTTAAAACAGTTTGAAAGATTCATTACGGGGTATGTACTCGCTTGATGTGGGTGATTCAAACAAGTATGCGTGTAAGGATGAGAAGCTCCACGAATGATGTACCGAGACTTAACAAGTCCTAAATGACATATATTGACATAAATATAGGTTTAGAGGTAACCAAAGGTAGGGAAACACCTCACGGGACTAGGAAACACCTTGACCAAGTGTTGGAATCACATGTGATTGGACTAAGGAGTGTGGAATGACTATAACATGAGTTTACTAGAATGAGTTTATGGCCAAAGGGAGTTTACGGTCGTAAACTCATGGTCTAACATGCATGAGTGTGGGTTTGAAAGCTATGGAAGCTTGAGGGACTTTTGCTCTACACAAGGATGAGAAAGACCCACTCATTGGAGAGTGTTGAGGAGTTTACGGACTAAGGGAGTTTACTCTTGGTCGTAAACTCTCTAATTGGTCACTTTTAGGGCCTTAAAGTTTAGGAGTCTCAAGGTTTCAAGTGTGCTAAGGTTAAGCAAGAGCATAGATGTGTTTAAGGTTCAAATCATGCCAAAACATGGAGTTTACGACCAAGGAAGATCTTGGGCCATAAACTCTCTAAATGATGATTTTGGTGATGTTTTCAAGTCTCTAAGCATGAGTCCTAACTACATATCAAGTGTAGTGAAGAGCACTTATGATATAGAGGCTTGAAATGGTCGATCTTGGCCAAGAACACTATTGTGTGTTCTTGGTGAAACTTGAAGATCTAAACAAACATGATTTTCATGGATGAAATCAATGTATGAAGCTAGTAAATAAGATGTATCAACTAATCAAGGGATATAACACTTACACTTTTGAAGATCTAAGGTGAAAGTTGGATGATAGTTTAGAGAGAATTAGGGAAATCGGCCAAGGAAAGAAAGAAATGAAAGAAATGGCCAATACTTGAATATATAGGGTGAGTTTACGGCCCACATGGAGTTTACGTCCGAAAACTCCAATGTGGTGGCCGTGAACTCATGGTGTTGGTGATTTAGGCTTGATCATTGTTTAGTGGTTCTAGTTGGTACTTCCTAGCACTCATTCCTTTAGTGTACTAGGCTCAGAACACTCAAACAGGCTCCAAATATTGCTAAAGGATAGCATGAATGAGTGTGTCACTGAGTTGAGTTAATTGACTGAGCTTTCAAAGCAAAAAAAAAATTAGGTTATCACAAGTATGAACAATTATGAACATTTAGAATTACCTACCTATTCAAGGATTTAAGCATGCTAATGTAGAAGACAATAATTATTTAATGAAATACTCATATCCAATATATGAACTCATTACAATATATGTTGCTTGTATTTTTCCAATATGTTGTTTGTATTTTTCCAATATCCAAATACAAAATTTTAATCAAACACATCTACATTTATCAACAATGCCCAATAGCACCGGCTTGCATTTCATGTTTTAGCTAATGAAGGAGCTTTGTTAAATAGATTTGACAAACTTGATTTGTATAAACTTTGCACATACAAACATTTTCAGATATATATATATATATATATATATATATATATATATATATATATATATATATATATATATGTATATATATATATATAGAGAGAGAGAGATAGAGAGACAGAGAGAGAGAGAGATAACTCAAATATAATGAAATTTTCAAGAATGTATTATATGCTTAAATATGAGTTAAATACCAATGCTTGCATAATAAGATTACCCATAGTCATAATGAATTATACATAAGCATCTTTTTATATGGTTCTCCAAACCACAATGTACTCTAACTCTGAAGTGTAACTGTAATTAAAATCTACAGGGAAACATTATCCACGAAACTTTCTCCTCATTCATAATGAGGAAATTCCCGAATGTAACTTAGAGTCATCTTAATCTATATGAAAGTTTAACACATGTGTAACTGTTAGAATAAATCAAGAGTTTATCGAAAGATTCTAAACAGAAAAGTAAATCACACAGTGAACACAATGATCAAAAGGTGTCGAATGATTCATAACAAATGCCTTAGAAGAGCTCGATGAAGAGCTTCTACTGTAAAGACATGGTAGGGAATCACAAAAGCGATTTACCCTAATACAATTCATGCATGCAATATTTAAAGCTAAACCCTAACAACGTCAAAATGGATGGAGAGACCCAGTCCGTAAAAAAGCTAATTACATACATAACAAAATTTGACACAATCTATTATATTACCGAAGAATCTCCTTCCTTGTGTCTAATAAGGAAGGCGGATTCTTCAACTCTGTTAGCCCTTTTGAACTTTCAAAAGTTTCAGCATTATTCCCAACAAAGTCTTACAAACCAAGATGTACTAGTTAATCATACCAGAGAAGCACTTCTTGTCTCTAGCATTTTTCGCTTTACACTAACCAATAAACTTCAAAATGTATTCAAGGCATGAGGTGGAGTATAGATGTTTTTCAGACAAAAAGATGCAAACTCTATGAGAATTTGCATAAGCTCTTTCTCTTATTTGGAATGTTATGCTCCGATCATCCTTTCATATTCTTCCCAGCTTCATATATTTCAAAATCATTTGAAGGCTCCTTGGGAAGTATTGTAGGTTTCTTGCGAAGGAAAGAAGCTATTTCCACTTTCATCTTGTTAACCTCATGGATGTACGAGACCAACATTCTTTTGATATGTGACACAATTGGTTCAAATTTTTGTTCATCTATCAGCCATAAATGCAATAGAGAAATCGAGTCAAATGGGTTGAGGCAGGGAAAATTAGCAAGAGTAAATTCAAACATTGAACTCGCAACCCCACAAGCAACCTTGAAACAAGCATTGATGAAGCTCTCAGTTTCAATTGGTCCAAAAACCTTGACAACAATAATCTTCTTTGAGCTCCAGGTTTCATACTGTGGCTTCATATGTTTGAGATGGAATGAGAAAAGCGCCTGATCAATGTCACAGTCTGGAAGAGATGTGTTTTCAATCTTGTCAAAGCTACGAAATTGAAAGGCCTTTAGTGTGATTGACAGATCAAGATATGAATCCATGGAATTCTCCAATTCAAACGATGCAACAAGCTCAAGCCAATAAATGTCCAGGTTATCAATCGCTTCATTCAGGATGTGTTCCATTGACCTTAAAGGGAAGATATTTTTCTGATACTATAAAGTTTCCTCAGTATCACGAACAACCTTCTCTCAATTTTCAACCTCCGTTGCAACTCATAGGTTTTCATTAAGTTCAACATCGCGAGATTTATGCTTTAACTTGTTATCTTCATCTTCTTCTTGCTCATCATCATCTACAACCATCTTCTCTTTTCCTCTTGATGCTGAAGCTACATTATCCTTCGTATCATTAGTATTTATTTTTTCTTCATGATCATCACCACCACCAGTTGCTTCCCCAACACCAAAAGATTTCCCCAGTTCTCCCCTTTGTTTTGGAATCGTGAAGGATTCTAAAACACCCTCAATTTTGTCTAGCATGGAGAATATGAGATTTAGTTTTTCTGCAAGATGCTGACAAACAGAGACTATGAGAAGAGAATCATGAGTTTCAATAAGATTATGCAGGTAAGCATTGACATCAGCAACACAACTCTTGATTACGTCTTTCTCAGACTTGAGTTCATGAATTTGCTTAGTCGTAGAAGATAGCTTTATAAATAGAACCTTCATCTTTTTAGTTTTCATAACAACCTCATCCATGATTTTGTTCTCTATGGCTAGATCCTCCTCAAGCTTTTCGATTTTGGAGGAGATGGAGGTTTGAAACTCCGTATTGTCAGTTTGGATGTCAGTACGAACCTTCATCAGAGCTGCCTTTTCTGTTTGGAGTGTATAAACAAGGCTATTGATGGCTATGTTTGCAGAGGGTATGTTTCGTTCCAAAGAAGTTATGAAATTACCCATGAAATTTTGAACATCAGAGAGTAGTTTTTTCGACTTTTTTGGACGTTTCCTTGAAAGTATTCTATGAATCCTCGATAGCTTTGTTTATTTGGGCAAGGTTACCAGCATCCTCGTTCATCAAGTCTCAAGAAGAACCTTGTGAGGCTCAAGAGAGTATTCAGAGCTAGAGGAAGAATTGGATGGTTCAATCAGAGTATCTAACTTTTCTTGTAGAAGCTTGAACTGACGTTTGGTCATGGGAGCATCATCATCATCGAGTATCCAGCTTTTCTTGTAGAAGCTTGAACTGACGTTTGGTCATGGGAGCATCATCATCATCCTCACTGGATTGTTGAACAACTGTACAAAAGCATCCTGATCAATACCAAACATGGTATCAAGGTCATCATGTCGAAGAGGTGAGATGGGAGTGAACTCAGTACCAAAAGAAAAACCAGAATCCCTTGCCCCCATATCAGATATGTTGGCAGTGACATGTGGTCAACTTGTGGTTGCTTTTGTAGTTACTGTCGAGTCTGTGAAGAAAGGAACGGATTGTACAATAGACACCTGGGATTACAAAACTCCCATAGAAACATTTAGGCATTGAGCTACCATGATAGGTGTTTTGTAGCAGTAGCAGAAGGTGGAGTAAAATCCTGGATAAAGTCATCTGTTATGGGAACAAAAGTTGGCACAAAAAAAGTTACCTTGGGATTAGTAGTTGAAGGCTCTGAAACCATGGGTTGCAAAGACACAGCAGTATCGTGAGTCTTGTATTGGTATTGCTTAGGTATACGAACGTCAAAGATGTGTGTGACTTCGAATCCTCCTCATTGCTTGGTGAAGGTGTCCTTAGTTTATGAACGACTTGATTTTTCTTCTTTCGAGTTTTAGCAGGCTCGCAAGGTCCAACATTAGCTTTTCGCTTGCATCCTTTCTTTGGCTTGTCATCCTCGTCTAAATCCCTCCGTATTTCATCGGTCAATGGACGAGGACCGGATGCCGGTTGTCTGCAATACTCGGTGATAACTTCACTATCTATTGAAACATTGCAAAGAATTGTTTCTAGAATAGATCCAATGGTATCAAATTGCAAACTTTCAGACACGATGATGTTGGAAGTGTGAAAAATTGGAATTGCTACAATCGTCTAACCCTTAATTACTGGAATGTAGTGACGTTCGATTGCCCTCTGAACAACTATTGTCCAAAAACGAGCACAAGATATATCGGTGTGCCTTGTAACAGATAAAGTACTCTGAACGAGTTGGATCCAAAGGATTGAACCATAATCCAGATTGATCCCAAAGTATATGCCATAAAGAATAGTAAGAAAAAGCATACTTGTGCTTTCGGAACCTGTTACCCTCTCTAAAAAGCTCTTGAAAATTAGGTTAAATAGCCCATTCCACATGGGAGGAAGATTAGGCTTCTTAAATTTTGATAAAATTGCAAAAATTGCAAGATGGTATTTGTAACCCATCTAATAGAACATATCCAGAATAGCAGAATAGGAGATGGACTCGGGATCAATCAAATCCCTAGCTGATGAAAGCCCTAACAAGCGACTAAATCTGGACTTGTGATGGATGGTTGTTGATTACCAAGCTCAGAAGTTATAGTAGCACTACTCTCTTCATAATGAGAAGTTGAGAAGGCTTTGGACAGATGAACAAGAGGAGTATGTTCTGTCTTCGATAGTGCAAGCGCCAATAGAGAGTGTCTCAGGCATTCAATCAGTGGTTTGAGAAAAGCGTCATACTTTGATGGATAATGGTCAACGATAAGATTTTGGTTAGCCTTGATGCGTAGAAGCCTTGATGTTGCAATCTAAACGGCAGCAGATGGAGTTTCTGATGAAGCAGCAATTGAAATCGTCGGAGAAGACGATGAACAGAAGTGAGAAAAAGGTTTTTTCTTGCTCTTGATAATTTTCAAAATCTTTAGAAGTGATAAAAGAAATTGATCGATGATTTTGCTTTTATACGACAGTGTTGGAGAGAGAAAACCAGCTGGTGACAGTTATGTTTCCCTGAAAAGGTGTGTGTGACAGGCGTGATGTCATGCGGTGTAACTCACAAGGCGTGATGTTGGGACATTTGAAACATGCGCCCAAATTGATTCTTATCCGTTAAAATCTGCCTTTTCTGTTCAGCCCATTCCTAATAGATCTCCACTTCCTGTTCTCTGAATCTGAAAGTAATCATTAGAACTACAAACCATACTTTTTGTAATTCACAAGGATCACCGTGCAAGAGGGTTCCAAAGATAAAGAAATAATTCTAGTGATGTCAATAAAGACATTGAACAGTTGGATCATGGGAAACGATCTCTTCCTTCGAAGTCAAAAGAGATTCGGAAGTGTCTGTGTGGTATCCCGTCGAATTACGATCATCTGTTTCTTGAGAAACAATGAAAGGCTTCTTTTTATAAGGCTTTGTAGGGTGAATTCATCTTCAACCAAACTCCGAAACTTAACATAAGTCTAAATGTTCGGAAGAAGTACTTGTCTAACCAGTGTATCCATAAGAACAAGTATACTTTGGAATTTCTAGAGTAGCTGGGTAATATAGAAATCTCAAGAAAAAAGTTAGATCTTATGGTGTTGAGACCCATTTTTATACGAACGGTGGATGCGGAAGAAATAATATCTTGAAATTATCATGTATCAAAATATAAAGATATGAAGAACATGATGAGAATTCCTGGAAGGATGAGAAAGAAAGAGAGATAAAATAATATTCATGAAGAACATTGGTGGGAGAGAGAAACTCTCCCTAGGTGGGGAGAACCCTCCACTTTTCTCTCTCTGGAATTACATTGTAAGAAAAGATGCATACTAAAAAATGACCACCTCTCCTTTTACATATGAGGGAGACAAAATACACCAACAATACAATAAAGGGAAAAATACAACCTAGCTACCACTCATTATTTTTAGAGCATTTTCATGCTCCAACATTTTCTCCATAAATGCTTACAAATGATGAGAGATGCAATAACTGATACAAGGCTATAATACAATAATCTAACTATCAAGTATGGTAATAAAATAAAACATAATGAGAACCAACTGTTGAAATGTCTCTGAAACTTTGAAGTATCTGTGAAGTCTGTATTTGGCCATGAATCTCTAAAAATGAAGGTCTTCGGCTTCAAAGTACCACCAAAGAAGCATAAAAGTGAGATCCAAATCTTCAAAGCGCCATGAGCAAGTAGAAGATCCAATAAAAGAAACACTTCGGCTTCAAAAAGTCTGAAAAACATCTCGAGTTCTCGAATCATAATACACCAAGATTCTTCAAAGAATAATCTGCTAAAAATGTGAAGCATCCAAAAAAATGAAGTCCGAATAAAAATAATGTGAAGACATGGTCCAACAATGCCAAAAATTTGATCCAAGGATGAAAAATAAGTGTCACGTCACATCACCAAAATAATATTCGTCTTCAAAATATCACAAATCCAAACTCGTGAAACCATAAGATCTGAACCGGATGTGAACACAAAGTCATCAAGTGGTAGAGTCCGAATAATAAATAATCTGAATCGGAAAACATCGAGTAATGCTAAAAATTTGATTCGTAAAGACCAAAAATAAGTGCCACATCGCATCACTAAATAAATAATCATCTTCACAAGTCTTCAAAAATCCAAACTCAAGCATTCATAAGAACCGGATATCAAAAATCAACAAATCATCGGATGGAGAGTGTCGAATACCAAGAGCTAAGAGAGCTCTCCCTAGATGTATGAAGGGTCTCGATAAGACACGAGAAATAGAGTAAAAAAGATACTTTGTGGTCATGAGAAAGCAAGTGATATAGTTGCTGAAGCTGCATGAACAAATACCATAGAATGAAGAATCAATGAAAAATATCTCTATTGTGCTGAAAATATGTCAAAATACCCAAACTGCGGTGCCGAAACTCTCGAAGTGGTCTTAAATAGAAAATAAAGTCCACATGCTCAAGATACATGATTCGTCAACCGAAGATCAAGAGCGACAAGTCATAAAATCTCATAAAGTGAAGAAGGAGAAACAACTTTGTTGATCAATCGTCGTTGCGGTACAAGCATTACAAAGAATGATATGAAGTCTGAATGCGGTATGGAGTTGTAACAACCCGAAATTTCCGTATCATCTCTTGTAACTCTTTCGTAGTACAATTCACGCAACCAATCATCGTTTCCAAATTCGATTTCCGATCTTCCGTTTAATTAAGTCATTAACT